GAATCATTAACGATTCGCCCACCGACCGCTACCTGGGCAGCGTGACCTTCACCCTGGAGGTCGGCGCGTGAGGCAAAGACATTGCGAAGCTCCTGTGATGGAGGCAGGAGAACATGTACAAGAGAAGAAATATTTTAAACCTTTATTTTTTTTTTCTTGAATTATTTTCTCATCTTTCTCTTAAATACCCATGTCTTCTGCTGTGAAAGAAATAAGAAACTAGATTTATACATTTTTATGTTGCATCTGTTGTTTCTTGAACCTTAAGCAGGGTGTTGGCACCCACAACAGACAGTGCTGTGCACCAGACAGCTGCATAGTGGGAATTACAATTCAGCTCCTTGTATTTTATAATTATTAGCAAAATTAATCAAAACTAAATTAAACTCTGCCCAATTAGTTTGCGTTTCTGGCTATGCAAATCCAATTCTGACTTACTAGAAAATTAGAAAATTATGGCAGGTTAGTTAATGGTTTTTCTTGCACATTTTTTGTAATGGTGATAAAGTACTAATTTGTTTTGAATTATATTGTTCAATTAAGTTGTAAGAATTCAAAGAACTATCATGTAAGCACTGAAAAGAAGACTTGTGATGTACTTATACAGAAAAATGACATAATAAATGCAAATACATAATTACTATATTTTTTTGTTGAATAGAGCAGTATTTTAAATTTATGATGTGTTTATGCTTTTTTTTTTGCAAAGGTAAAGTAATATACCAGACTGATCAATAAAGAAATATATTATGATAAATAATAATTCTACTATCTATCAATTTGATTTTACTTTCCCCTGTAAGTGAAATCATGACTTGAAAATATTTGTATTTACTCAAGTATGGAGCTAAATTGGGATCAATTTAGTTTAGTTTGCTCAAATGAAAAAAAAGTCTATCTATCTATCTATCTATCTATCTATCTATCTATCTATCTATCTATCTATCTATCTATCTATCTATCTATCTATCTATCTATCTATCTATCTATCTATCTATCTATCTATCTATCTATCTATCTATCTATCTATCTATCTATCTATCTATCTATCTATCTATCTATCTATCTATCCATCCATCCATCCATCCATCCATCCATCCATCCATCCATCCATCCATCCATCCATCCATCCATCCATCCATCCATCCATCCATCCATCCATCCATCCATCCATCCATCCATCCATCCATCCATGTGTATTGAACATACATATATGTTCAATAAGCTTTGAAACAAAATTAATTATTTAAATCTAGAAAAAAATATGTGAATTTGAATAAAAATGTTCAAAATACTTTTCATATTCATGTTTTTTTTCAGTTTTGAATTTCTTTTTCTTTCTTTTGAACAAACTTTATGGCCCCAATTTAGCTCCTTACTCAGGTTATGTTTGGTAGATCTGACATATTTAAGTGTGAAAATCTGTATTATTTACACTTTTTTACAGAACTCTACATGTTGGATGTTAGCTCCGTGTTGTTATGGATGACAATATTCAAGATATCAACTAAAAGCTTCGGACAAAAACAAAATAACTTATCAGTCAGACTGCAGTTGTGCTGGAATGAGTCAGGCTTCTGTGTACAACACAGATTAGTAAAGAACCAAACTGAACAAAGTCTAAAACACAGTTTGAGCTTCCACATGACTTCAGGCTTGAGTTCCCAACCTTTGAGTTCAATTCAGTCACAAGACTTCTCCATTCCCAATAAATACACAGAAGAAGAACAAAGATACGAAACAAGAAATTAACTTTATTATTGAATTTGTTCCCCACTCGTGTTAAAACGAGCCCAACGTTTCGCATTCCTCCATCAGAAGCTCATGGTGAGGTGCTCAACAGAAAGGCACGGAAACTTTAGCGGTGTGGGGATGAAAAACGCTCAAAAAATTGAGAAATGGCTGCGCTGGGTCAGAGCTTGTTTGGTACCATCAGAAACCAGTAATGAAGAACAAAAAACTGTTGATTTTCCTTCTAAAATACGACATATTAAATCAAAACACAGGTCAAATGTGGTTAAATTTAAAAAGTATTTTTCTCTGTAAAGATTTGTAGCCAGACCATTTATGGGCAAAGACGTACCAGGAAGAGGTCTGCTCTTTTTCCCCTCTGCTGTTGTGCATTCAGATCAGGTACACTGCAAAAATGCAACATATTACCACTTCTTTTTACTTAGTTTCTAGTGAAAATGTATTAGTGCACTTGAAATAAGACAAAACTAACTAAATAACTTCTTAGCAAGATTTAGAAGTGTTTTCTAGTTAGTAATTTCTTAATATTGATAAAAATATTAGAGCCATTGGCAGATCATCTTACTTATTACAAGTTATTTGTTTATGTTTTAAGGAAATTAATCTGCCAATAGAAGTAGTATGTTTTCAAATTAATTTTACAGAATTATTGGCTCCTATTTCTTGCTGAAAAGTTACTTGTATGTTAGTTTTGTCTTATTTCGAGTGCACTACACTAGAAACTGGACCAGAAATACTTGATAATATTTTGTGTTTTTGCACTGTAAAAGAATACAAAAGCATTTCGCACAAACTCTTTCCTCTATTTAATGACTTCCTGATGGTTTATAGGGGTAAAATTAAGGTTCTCGGGTTAGAGCATGTGGTTTTAACAGGACTAGTGCAAAAACTCAAAAATGTTACCAAGGATGTTTTCCTGTCTAATTTCTAAAGTAAGCTAGTCTTGTCTCATTTCAAGTGTACTAAAATATATGCACTGTAAACTAGACCAAAAAATAATTATTGGTAAGATTTTGTATTTTTGCAGTGCATCAATGACTGTTTTTAAATCTCTCAATCTTACATTTTTGCTCCTTGGTCTTTAAGAAAGTTAGTCACTTTACTATCGACCATTTTCTTTTTTTATTTTTGTGCCAGTATTATTTTAATTTCTTCTATCGTAATGTTTTACTTTTCTGGCTGTGTGACACTTTTGGTGAAGTTTGTTGACTTTATGGCACTTTATAAATACATTTCTTGATGTAAGTAAGTTTATTTGGTCTCCAAAACTGATTTCTGAATACCCAATATGCACAAATGAGTCTGAAGAGAATAATCTCTCTTTAATGCTAAACTGATCCTGCTGTCAAATGTTGTGTTTAATCCCAGATTGAAAAGTAAACAACACTGTAATCACATTAATTTCCAACATACTTTATGTGAGCATTTCAACAAAATTCAAGAGTGACAAAAACTACAAATAAAAGAGAAATAAAACTGGTCCCAATGCTGGTAAAGTGTCTATTACATTATTTTTCCCTTTCACCCGATGAGAATATGTGCAACAAGTTTAGCTGTTCATTTGTGTTACATGGAGGAGAAAACAAATCCATGGAAAACCGATGTCTGAGAGATAAGGTTGCTCTTACATTCATCAAAAATCAATGTCTGTCATTCTATACAAGAGATTAATTTACACATATACTATAATATAGAACAGAAAGTCAGGGCAAAAAGCCTCTGGGTTAGGAAGGAAAGAGAGTGCACTGCAAAAACTAAATCTCAAATACTTTGGGTTTAGTTATGGTTCAAATATTTTAGTGCATTTGAAATAAAACTAACTTATAAGTAACTTTTCACAAAGACAGAGGAGTTGGTTTTAGGTAAATAATTCCTGAATATTGATTTTAAAAAATACAAGTTCCACTGGTAGATTATTTCTCTTAAAACATCAGAATAAATGTTGTTATAAGTTAAATAATCTGGCAATGGAACTATTTCTTTTTAAATCAATACTAAGAAATTATTTACTTAAAACAAACTCCTAGTTCTTGCTGAAAACTATGTTTGTATTACTAACTTGTACGTATTACAAATTAGTAATACAAAATTACATAGCAAGACTTTTTTCAAATGTCAAAAGTACAAAATTAGTGGAATTAGAACTTTTTAATCTATATTTAAGTATTATTGATTTAAAACTTGCTGAAAATTACTTATAGTTAGCTTTATTGTATTTCAAGTGAACTAATATATTTGCACAAAAAAAAAAAAAACCCGACAAAAATTACTTAAGATTTTGTGTTTTTGCAGTGTTTAAGGCTAATTCACAGCCATATATCTATCTATTTTTTAAACATGCAGTTTATATTAAAACAATTTGTCATAGATCATAAATGTTTTAGTGGTTGATTCAGTCACTTTTGTCAGAATAAAAAAAAAAAAAACATAAAACAAACAAAACCAGCTGAAACTGGATGAGGGAAAAAATGTAAAAGGTTTTTGCAAGGAGAAGGAAAACTGAGAAAAATCCATTAAGCTTTTTGATGCAGGTGTATTTTTGTTGTTGTTTTTTCTTTTTTTTCCTTTAGAGCAGAAAGAATGGGGAAACAAACAGGGAGGAGAAGCAGAAGCAGCAAAGCTGGACTCAAACAGACTGGTAACCAGTGCGGCTCTTCCGCCGACCAATCAGGTAAGAGATAAGCACAAGGATGATTAGGAAGCTGAGCGCCACGCCGACGGCGATGGGCACCAAAAAGCTCAAATCAGAATCCAGGAAGCATTCCTCAGCTGACAGACAGAGAGACAGACAGGAGGTTAGCGCCTCAGCAGCAAGTTAGAACACGATTTGTGTTGGAAATAAACGATTAGAAACAAAACCGGAAGCAGCAGGACAGAAACAACCTATGAAAAGATGGAAGCGGTGCAGAGCGGATTAGAGAGAAGAACACAAAAGAACAGATTGTTTCTGCTGAATTCAGTTTCAGAAAATTAACTCACTGAAGTCTGTCAGAGTAGATTAAACATTATGCCAAAAGCAGAGTGTAAAAACCGGAAACAGCTCGATCCAAACACAATTAGCACGAATGTTTGCTTATTTTTATTTTTTTGGCCGAACTTAATTGCCTCTTGTGAAAAGTAGTCTAATTGAAAAACTAATTAAATTGTAATTAAAGAAAAAGTGTCACAAAATGTATTGACTAAAAATAAAAACCACTAGCTTAAACGCAAAGAAACTTGTGAACCGGAAGTGATCCGCGCTACTGATCCGCCATCTTGCTGCCGGGCAGAAGCAGCGCAAAGACGGAACTGCTTCGAGACCAACGACAAGAAAGTAAAGTACTTAAATACTGTAATAGAGTAATTTTTAATCTTAATGTAGGCTACTTAATTTTAATATAGGGTACTTATAACGTTTTTGGGTTAGAAAAGAACGAGGCGAAAGCTTTTCTGAGCTTTTAGCTTATTTTGTTGTTGTCATAGCAACTCCATAGCGACTGCCATGACCGTTAGTTATTGTGTGTGGTTTGTGATTGTTTTATTTTTTTTTAAACTATTTTATTTTTTAATCATTTCAGTAGTTTTTTTCCAAGTACGCATCCATAGAACAGTTAGATCCTCCTCTAATGAAAATTACAGAGCAACTAGTTTTGTTGTTTTATTTTTAACATTTAAGTTTCTTCCAGTTTCTGGATTAAATGTTCTGCTCAAAATGTAAGTTTAAACTTGCATTTCTATAACATCATCGGTATATTTGTTGATAATGGTCTCAAAACAATATTACAGTTTATCGGAATAATTTCTGGAGCAATTTATCGTCCAGCAAAATTAGTTTTTGAACTACTATTTTTGCTTTCTTTCGCAAGAACCTCTTCTTTGCAGTGACTTTTACTCAAACGCTCCCCAACTCTGCTTTTAAATGATTAAACTTGGCTAAAAATACAAATATTTCCAAAACAGAAAGTTACCTAAATCTTAATTTTGTTTGCTCGCCATTTGTTTCCCAATCGAATTCAATTCAAATTCAAAAATACTTTAATTGGAAAGAAAAATTAAATACCAAAAAATATAAAAAATTGTTTTAGTAAGGCAACCCGATAAAACCCTTTTTAAGTTCTTAATGTATAAATTAATCAACCTTTTTCCAACAAAAAAAATCTGAATATTTGTTAGAGTATGGCATACTTTGCTAATTGTTAAGCAGGTAGAATAAAATTTTGACAAAATAAATATGCAATAATAAATTGTTCCATCATGTTGATTTGGACATTTAAAGTTCGAGTTGCTTTAAATGGGTAAAAATCAGCTGGACAAAGTTTTACTTTTATGCAAACTCACTAATTAAAAAAAAAAAAAAAAGATTTAACTTGGCCTTTAAGAAAAAAAATATATATATATTTGGAAGCGTCCTGATGGCAGATTTTAGATTTCAGCTTCCCACCCATTAAGAGACCAAGACTTGCATCTCCAATTTCTGTTTGGTAGTTTTGAGTACATCAAGCGTGTTTCCAGTCTTTATACAAAGCTAAAAGACAATCAGAAGACCCATAAGTTAACAGAACAAAACACACAGATTACGCTTTTCTCGTCACCAATTAGTGAAAAAGCAGCGATTTAAATAAGGCGGCGGCCACCCCCTGCAGCTCTAAACGAGGAGTAAGATCAGAAAGACTGGTAGCCCGACGCCATGTTTCTCTTCCTCCCGATGAAATAAGCCAGCAGAACAATAAGTATGAGAACAAGCAGGGCAACGCCGACAGCTATGGGAACAAGGTAGCTCTCCTCATCAGTCAGGCATTCCTCAGCTAGACGGGAATGAAGAGAGCACACACATGAATGTCTCACCCACTTAAAAAATAAAACATCTGAAAGGAAGCAGTTAGTCATAAAAAAAGCATAAACAACAGGGAATCCCTTCTGTAAATTTTCAAACATTTTTATTTCCATTGAAAATACTAAAAACGCTTCATTGACACAAATTGAATGTGATGCAGCTAAAAGCAAAAGAACACATCAGAGACGGTCCTGCAGCAGATTCCCTTTTATTTCAATTATATGACAGAATTGGAATAATTGAGTTTATTTTACCAAGTCAGAATTATAAACAAGTCCAGTTAAAGGCTTTATTGGTGCTGCAGGAACATCTTTATATTTAAGGCAGTTTTTACACAAAGACACAAATCACAAGCAAAAAAAAAAAAAAAAATCTAAGCTCATTTTTGATTAAAAAGCAATAATTCATGCACATGTACAATAAACCTGTGAAAGCAAATTTTTTCAGCGCAAAAATACACTGCAAAAACAAAACCATAAGTGTTTTTCTCTGTAGTTTCTTGTGCAAAAATCTCAGTAGACTGGAAATAAAAACAAAATAGCTTAAAAGCAAGATACAGGAGGTTGGTTTGAGTCAATAATTCATCTTTTTTTTTTAAACGATACTGAAATCATTTCACTTAAAACAAGTGCAATCTGCTAGACAAAGTATTTTCACATCAGTAAAGGAATTATTGACTTAAAACAATCTCCTTTTGTTGCTAAAAAGTTACTTGTAAGTTAGTTTTGTCTTAATTCAAATGTACTAAAATATTTGTACTATAAACTATAGACAAAAACACTTGGTAAGAGTTTGTGTTTAGATTTTTTGCAGTGTAGAAACTAATGCACAGCTACAAACGTCGCTATGGAAACACTTCCTGCCTGCTGCCCAATGAAGCTGCTCAAAATCTCAATTATCCCCTAAAACCAACGACTTCCTGCATGGGGAGAAACTTTGTTTTTGAATGGAAGACTTTAGAGATTATGTGAACAAACATGGCAGCAGATTAAAATATGCTGGAGATTATGTGAAAGCTACATTAGACTCACAAGTTAAAACAAGAGACACACCACATGGAGATTGTAACTGGATTTTTTTTCCTGTGATTAACTTGATTAAATTAGTTATTGATACAACGTTTTGAGTTTTATAAAGAAAAAAAATTAAATCAGATGTAATCTTATTCCATCATTGTATGTTTAATTTGAAATACTTTACATAACCTGCTGCACATGTTTTATCTGTTATAATATGAAACATTTCCTAAATTTGCTGATCGAACATGAAAGAAAATCAGTCTATATCGTCCAGTAAACTTAATCGGTGCATCTGAGGACTGTAAATATGATACGTTATATTAATCTGAATAATATTACAGACAGAAAAAAAGGAATTAATTCATCAGATATCAAAGAAAAGTCCTAAACTTTCCAAAATATTTCCAAGTGGTCTGGTGTCCAATGCATTTAAAATAAGACAAAACTTACAAGCAACTTTTAAGAAAAAAAAATAAGTCCATTATTTCTCAATATCGATAAAAAAAAGTCAGCCTTCCACTGGCAGATAATTTATAAATTTTTTTTCATGGTACAAGTGAAATGATCTGCCAGTGGAACTCTTTTAAATTAATATTAAGTCTCATAATTGTTCCTAAGCTAGTTTTCTTAATTCAGGTGTTTTAAGATATTTGCACTGGAAACTACACAAAAACACTTTGTGAGATTTTGACTTCCTACAAACTCACTACTTCGCAGGATTTGGGAGCTTGGCTTAAGTCAATGACTTCTTAATATTAATAAAAAGTTCTGTTTTCAGTGGCAGATTAATTTATTCTCAATACGGAAAAAACATTTTATACAAGTCAAATATCAGTGAAACTTGTACCTTTTAAATCAATATTAAGAAATTATTGACTTAAAACAAGCTGTTATTTCTTGCTGGAAAGTTACTAATAAGATAACTAGACAAAAAATACCTGGTCATATTTTGAGTTTTTGCAGTGTAACCAGTGCTTCTCCAATTTAAGCCGAATCCATTTTTTGAAAAACTCCAGCTCACTTTATTATTTCCAGTTTTTATCTCTGCAGCAGTGAAACAGCTTTCAACTCTCATCAAAAAGCAAAAACACAAATGATATAATCAAGATTTTTTAATTCTTTGTCACAAATATTCAAAGACGATGTGAAAGGTTTTCAGGACTGTAAATGTCCTCTCATCCAGCTGATCGTAACACAAGTGAGAAAATTAGACGACAAGCAATATAAAACCCTCTTAGTGCATTTCTGTGCAAACATTCTGATTCCAGAATGATTCACAGCGAAAGTGACAAATATTTGATTTCCCTTTTCTGACTAATGCCACCATGTGTTTGTTGGTTAAATTAAAAAAGTACCTGTGATTCTTTCATTCTAGTTTGCTCTGATTGGAGTGTGTGCAAAAATAAAAATAAAAAGACTCACACAGGTGAACAATGGCTTCATAAAATCCTATCTAACACTTGAAATCTGAAAGAGATGCGCAAATGATCTGCTTGATGCTGATGAATAATATCTGAAGTTAGTCATAATCTGGTTTTACAGTCGTACAATGGAGTATTGGAGACATTTCAGATAAAAGAATTAAAAATACTGGCCATGAAGGAGTAGCTTTAAGCCAAAAAATATATAAAATTTTGAGATTAATTTCACATATTAATGAGAAGAAAAGTGGATATTCTCTGTTTTTATGATTTAAGGCATAAAGTTATAAAATAAGTCATCTTTGTTTGGGGAAAAAAACCTCTGAACTGACAGAACGTGACCAAAGTCGAAGGAGAATCACATCTGAATGTTTTCCAAGAGTCAGAGCTGCACTGTAAAAACACAAAATATTACCAAGTAATTTTAGTTTAATTTCTATTGCAAATATCTTAGTTCAGCTGAAAGAAGACAAAAATAACTTATCAGTAACTTTTTTAGCAAGACAGAACAGATTATATTACGTCAATAATTCCTTAATATTGACAGATTATTTCACTTCAAACATTTTGAAGTGAAATAATCTGCCAGTGAAACTAAGTTTTTTCTAACTAATAATAAATAATAAATTATTTAAATAAAATTAAGCTTTTATATGTTACCTAAAAGTTACTTCTAAGTTTATTTTGTCTTATTTGAAAGTGAACTACGATATTTGCACTTGAATGTAGACTAAAAAGACTTTTGGTGTTTTTGCAATTTGGATCCAACATTCAGATACATTTCTCAAATTTTCCACTAAATCCTAAGATTCTGGTCACCATTTGTCACAAATATCTGATTTTATAATTCAAAGAAATACGTTTTCTTCAGAAAAATCTCTTTTAAACAAATTTCTGACAGTGAAACTTTATTTTCATTTTGAAAATTTATGATGGACACTAGAGAATATCCACGTTTTCTTGTAAATATGTGAAATTATTCTACAAATGAGTTTTTTGACAAACAATTTACTCCTCTGTGGTCAATTATTTCTTTTTTAATCTATAATGACCCCAATATCTCCTTACGCATTCATAACATGAACAGAGCCTCAAAATCTGAAATAATTCCCAAGATTTCTCCTGATCTACAGGGAACAACACGGGCCAAAACCCACCTCTCTCATCCGTGTTCGTGAAATTCTGGATATAAATACAGAAAGGAGCTCTAATATTTTGATTTGATAATTATCAGGGTGAAAAGCGAAACTTTAAACAAGAACAAAAACTAAACGAGGGAGGGAATGTGTGCTGAGCAAAGTGCAGGATCATAAAAGCTGAAGATCTTGTGCAAAAAGCTATACGAACTGACCAGAGGTTATAAATCTTCAGGCGTTTCTGCACACAGAAAACAAGCTTTGCTGATCACCTGAACTTGAGCATCAACAAGAAGCAAAATGGGAAGGACAAAAACAGGATGAAAACAAACCGAACCAGGGGAAAAACAAGTTTGGTCCTTGTGGAAAACGTCAAATTTATCTTTGGGCTGATTCAATTTAATCAAGTTTTTTTTTCTTCTTCTTCTTCATTTTATTACCAGCTGGTACTAAAATGATCATTTTTCAATCTTAAATAGATTCGCCAGATCAATTCCAAGGACCAGGCTTGAGAATCCCGTGACGTGAGGAGCGAACGCACGCTGGATTTAAAGGGTCTGATATCCAACATGGGTCTTTCTTCGACCAATCACGTAAGCGATCACTACAATGAGAATCAAGCCAGCCAGAGCAGCACCAACAATGATTGGGATTAAGATGCTGGGGTCATCCAATGAACATTCATGGGCTGCAGATAAAAAGGAGAGTCAGTCAGCTGGTGGAAAAGTTCACTTTCTTATTTTCCTCAATTTAAAACAGAGGCAAGAACGAAACAAAGAAATTATTCACCATCCTGGGACAAAACCGAGCTGCAAAACTCTTCACACCACTTTAACTTTTATATGTTCAATGAGAAATAACTTCACCGCATTTTAATGGGATTTTATGTCACAATTTACACTGATTCTCCTAAAAATGACTTTTACTAATGTCAAATCTGAATGAGCCGATTCTGGTCTTTTCACATCTGATAAAATCTGATTTGTGTCACTTCCGTTTGTGTCGCGTTCAAAGTCTGCAGCCTGAACGACCATGTCGCTATTTTGAGGTGAAACGAGTCAAAATCTTGCGGCAAAAGAAGCTGCATTAATCAATTAATCGCATAATCCATTTGTTCGATTTATCGTTTTTCTCTTTTCTCTCTTTACTAAAAACTGGATAAAAGTCTTCAGTCTGCTGCTTTGGTTACAAATATTCCTTTTTCGAAGGATAATTTTGTTTACAGAGACGTCATAATTCATTTAATTTGTTGTTTTGTTGATTTATTTGGGATATTTGAAATGTCTTCCAGTTCCAGAGTTCAATTTTCATTTGAAGTTAAAGTTTAAAATTGGTCTCAAAACAACAATATCATCGTTGGAAAATTATCGTACAGCAAAAATTGTTATAAATGCATGCCACACTTTTCAGATTAACTGACTGCTAATTTCTGTTGGTATATGACATAAAATCCCAATAAAATACATGAAAATTTCAGGTTTTAATATAAAAAATGAGAGAAACAAGTCATGATATAATAAAAACAGATTTTTTTGTGTTTTAAATTAAATTCTTTGCAATAAATGTGCAAATAAGGAACCACACCTACCACATAGTAATAGAGAGTATTACTATTAATTCAGTCCATTAGATAAGAGAAGAGAGACGACTGACCTGTGCTGTAGAGACCTTTCTTCACGCCGAACGGCTGCACATGCAGGCTGAAGGTGTAGATGGAGAGCAGGTCCGTGATGGTGAAGTTCTGCTCCTTGTTGCACATGTAGGAGCTTCCCACCGCCGCCTCCCACAGACTCAGGTTGGTGCTGCTCTGAGCAAAAACGCCTGCAGGGCGACACAGGAAACTCAGCACCACACCTGGAAAACTGCAGGTTGTTTCCGAGCGGATTATAAATACCAGAGCTGGTGTTGATGGTGACGTTCAATGCATGGAGGCGGAATTTCTTTGTGTCCTGTTAAGATTGAAAACGAGTTAAACTTCCTCTTCGTTTTATGGCTGAGAAGTTAAACTGATCATATATTCTTCAAATTTCTTACTTCCCATTTTGATTTTTATAACAGAAAATAAAACCTGTTAATTTTTACATTTATTTGCTGATTAATAAAAAGATCAAACAGCATTTCTTCTCATAGTGTGCAGTAAACACCATCTAAAGACCAGCATAACTCAGTCTCAATGTGAAAAGCTTCAGAAATAAGGGAGAAAACAAGGATCTGGCCTGCAAAAACAAAATATAACCAAATATTTTGGTAGATTTTATAGTGCAAATATCTTGGTAAACTCGAATTAAGGCAAAACTAAAATATTTGCACTACAAACAGGACAAAAACCACCAGATAATATTTTGTGTTTTTGCAGGGCAGATTGTTTTCTCCCTCATTTCTGAAAATGTTTCACATTATGCAGCTCTGCAGATGTTTTCACTGCACATTATTACAAGATAGGCTGTATGTCACCAAGATATTTAAACTAGAAGTTGGTCAAAAATACTTAAGATGTGTTTTTGCAGTGTATGCAATAACATATTTGGACATTTGATTTTCACCTTTTATTTAAGAAATTAAATTAGTGTAATTGCTAGAAATACACACACACACAAGATAGAAATAAGCTTCAACAAAAAAAAAAAAAAACAAGTTTATAAAACTTACGTTGTAGAATGAGAGAGAAACGGTGATGTTGTTGGACACCAGGGTGAGCTCACTGTTGTCAACTCCACAGCTTCCAGAAACTTCAGTCGCAGGGTCAAAGTTCACCTCCTGATACTTCTGAACACACAAAATAAAAACCATTGTGCTATTAATAATAAACTATTCCCAAACTACTGCTAAACATTTACAGAGCCAATAAAAGCTGCAGCTAGAACAGTTTGAAATGATTTTATTTTGTGAATTTGTCAAAAATGTTGTTAATAAAAGTGATAAATCATTCGAAGGGATGAATATTTTATATAGGTACTGTATGCATTATTTATAAATTATTTTAGTCGATTATTCTCATTATTAATCACATAAAAACGTAAAAGTTCAGCAGATTTTCATTTAACTACTTTAGCCTTTTAGATTTACCACATTAGAAAAACATGAAAGGATACAAAGAAACAATTTTTTTATTTAAAAAAATTTATCAAACAACATTTTATTCCCTAAAATACTATAAAATATCATTTAAACCAGGTGAAGCGAAAAGCCACTTGAGATTTTTTGTGGAAAACAATTTTATAGACAGTTTTTTTTGTTTTTATCTTAAATGGTGAATATTTATACAGTTTTGGCTTAAAAACTTCTCTGAATATGTTTTATCAGCAAATGCCCTTAAACTCCAGTTAAAGATTATTTATTACAAAACTACTATTTAAATAAATTGATTCACCTTGATTAATTGCTTAATCTCTGGCATATTCTGCAGATTTTTCATTTAACTACTTGAGCTTATTTTAAATAATATTTGAAATACACTGTAAAACGCAAACATTTAATTCCTTTTAAAATATAAAAATAAACATTTTATTGTCTAAAATACAATAAACGTGTTGCTTTGGTGTTTACCTGATGCATCTGCAGCAAAAACAAAATATTTCTAACACCAACATGTGAAAAGTTCAGCTATTTCAGCTCAATTTAACATCAATACAGTGAAGGGTTCATTATTTTTTAGATTACACCGTGTTCCAAATTATTATTCAAGTGATATTTTCTCTGATTTTCTTAAATGGTCAATGCAAATGATAGTCAGTATAATTTTAAGTCATGAACTATTATAAATAAAATTTTACTGAACAAAGCTCCCCATGCGAACAGTATATATTTTTTTTCAAAAAATTATTTCAAATTATTATGCACAGCAGATTTTCTAAACATTTTATGGATTATAAAGAGTTGCAAACAGTCATCCTCTGAATGTGCAGCATTAAGTGGTCACATGTACTAAAATCAAAGCTATTTCAATCAAAAACATCTTAACAGACGAGTTACATGTTAACATTGGACCTTCTTTGAGATCACCTGCACAATTCTTGCATCCATTGAACTTGTGAGTTTGTGGATAGTTTCTACTTGAATTTCTTTGCCGGATGTCAGAATATCTTCCCAGAGCTGCTGTTTTAATATGAACTGCATCCCACCCTCAGATCTTCTGCTTCAGGAAACTCCAAAGGTTATCAATAGGGTTGAGGTCAGAAGAGGATGGTGACCAACCATGAGTTTTCCCCCCTTTTATGCCCATAGCAGCCAATGACACAGTGATATTCCTTGCAGCATGAGATGGTGCATTGTCATGCAAGCTCTTCTTTTTGAATTATGAAAGAAAGTGATCAGTCAGAAAGTTCATATACTTTTCTGAGGTCATTTTCACACCTTCAGGGACTCTGAAGGGGCCGACCAGCTCTCTCTCTCCCCCATGATTTGGGCCCAAAGCATGACTCCACCACCTCCTTGCTGACGTCACAGCCGTGTTGGGACGTGGTGGCCATCCACCATTAATCCACTACTGTGTCCATCTGGACATTTCTGTACAGTTTTGGCTTAATTACTGCTCTAAATCTGTTATTTTTACAGCAAATTCCTTTTTTTTTTTTTGAGGAATTTGCACTAAACCAGCTGTATTAATCAGTCGATTAATCTGATTAATAGTTTCAAGATTAATTTGAATTAAAGTTGGGTCAAAGTTCAGCTACATTTTCTTGAGTAAATTTTTTTTTAAGTACTTTTAGAAGTATTTTAGTACATTGTACTGTTTACTTTTACTTGAGTAATTTTATGATGAAGTAATTCTATTCTTAGTTGAGTAAAATGTCTGTGTTCTCATGTTTTAACCAAAATAAATAAAAATAGCATATACAGGCTTTCAGTTTTTGTTAGTTTTATACTGAAACAAATTGATTTAGAATTTTTTTTTCTTTTGTTCGATTTTTCTTGTGACATTATGAATTATTTTTATTTTAATCTGTAAAACACCAAAATCTCCACTTAACTTTACATTTTGGTCTGTCTGATGATGTAATTTTTAATATTAATTGATTGATAATTTGATCAGTTACTCAATAGTTGAATAGACTTTTTAACCAGATACTTTGTTGGCCAAATACTTTTTACTTTTACTCGAGTAAATTTATGCTCCTCTTGCTACTGAACGCACCTTGTTCTGGGTGAAGCCGATCCTCAGGCCAAAGTTGGCCAGCAGGCAGGCCGTGCTGTTGGCGTCATGCTTGATGGAGTAATTCCCCACAGTAGGAGTGGGCAGAGTGGGAGTGGGGGTGGTGGGAGGAGCCGCCGTGGTGGCGTTGGTGGCCGGCGCCACGGTGGTGGTGTTGGTGGTCGGCGCCACGGTGGTGGCGTTGGTGGTCGGCGCCACGGTGGTGGCGTTGGTGGTCGGCGCCACGGTGGTGGCGTTGGTGGTCGGCGCCACGGTGGTTGGAGTGGGAGTGGTAGGTGCGGGTTTGTCCGCAGGGCAGACTGTTTCTGGAAAGCGGAGAGAATGGATCAGAACTTGATATGCGAAGGTCTGAGCCCAGAGGAGTGCGAGAGGCGGCGGTTCTTACGGTTCTTGCTCTTGGTGCCGTTGATAACGAAGGCCTGTATGAGCACGTCCGACAGAGTCATGTTGGCCTGGGGCGAAGCGATGATTGTGTCTTTACTTTTGCACAAGTAGCACATGTTCACGCCAACGTCTTTAATGTCAGGCTTTGCTTTCACAGTAACAGTATCTACAAGCAAGAAAAAAAAAGTTCACTCGTCTGAGTTTATTTTGTTTAATAAAACAAAATAAAAGGGGCAACATTTTACTGTTGTGTTAAATCGCAAAAGTACAGAATAAGATTAGGGTCACTGAAAAAGAATGCAGACTTTTGATCTCAGAGGGTTGAAATCTGAATACTGCATTACAAAAGTCCAAAGATTTTTTTCTTTTTTAAAAGTCTGAATTTTGAGAAAAAAAGTCTAAATTTTGAGATGAAAGTCAAAATTCTGAAATTAAAGTCAGAATTCTAAGAAAAACAAGTCCAAATTTAGAGAAAAAAAAGTCCAAATTTTGAGACCAAAAAAAAAAAAAAAAGCTTGAGGAAAAATGTCTAAATCCCAAGGGAAAGTCAAAATTTTGAGACAAAAGTCCAAATTCTGAAATTAGTCAGAATTCTAAGAAATATAAGTCAGAATTTAGAGAAAAAGTAAAATTTTGAGACAAAAATGTCTGAATTCTGAGATTAAAGTTTGAATTCTGAGGTTAAGGTCAAAATTTTGAGATAAAAGTAAAAATTCTTAGAAAAGTTAAAATTCTAAAAAAAATAAGTTTGAGAAAGTCCAAATTTTGAGAAAAAAATGTCTGAATCTTGAGGAAGCCAACATTCTGAGAAATAAAAGTCAGAAACTGAGATTAAAGTCAAAATTTGCAGGCAAAAAAAAGTAAATTTTTCTCCAGTGGCCCTTATCGTACAAACGTGTCCCATTCTCACACAATAACATACTAGCCAGTTCACACGGCACCTTGAATTCTGAAAGATTTTGTGCAACAACATAAAGTTTCTGTAAGGTTTTTCCATGCATGTTTTATATCAGAAGAGGTCAAACTTGGATTTTCTCTTGTAAGAAAGAAAAAAAAAAAAATAGTTGGACTACCAGTTATTTCCACATGGCAATCTGTCTGTTATTAGTCTGAAAGGTTAATAACGAGATGTTTTCATGCACATTTTCATCTTTACATAAATATAAAATAATAAATCAATTTTCAATCAGTTTCTGCACCATGCGGAAGCTGTGTGCAATTTTAAAGCAACATTTTTTCTCGCTGTGACTGCAAACAAAATACACCAGGTTGTATTTGCTTATTTATTGCGAGGTAACGCAAAAGAAAACAATTTCCCCCGATGCTCCAAAGGGGGCGCCATGAAAAGCAGAAGTTACCTTTGGATGAAGAATCCGGGAAGACATTTGAGTCGTTGAGGTTGTAAACGAAGGTGATGGCGTCTGCCTGGTAGCTTTTGTCTTTGAGGGAAAAAGTCACGCTCCATGAGTGTCCGTCCGCAAAGCTGAGCTTCAGAACTGAGCTCGTTTTGTCACATTTGCTTTCGTTTGATAATGCAGAGGTGGGAAGCCCAAATGAAACAGTTTTTTTCTGAAAGAGAGCAGAGTCATTACAGAAACATCAAACAATCAGATTCTTAGGTAGAGTTAAATTAACATAAAACAATGCAATAAAAACTTAATTTTCAGTAAAGATGGTATAATTGTATTTAATCAAAAACAAAAAAAGGCAGCTTTTCTCCCCTTTATCTGAACAAATTTAACAAACATCAGAATTTAAACTTTTGCAAAGCTCACGTCTTTTAAATAATAACCTTGTGGTTTTGTTGGCTCATTTTGGCTCTTCTGTAAATAAATACAACAAAATGTTTCTTCAGACTGACCTAATTATTTCCTCTTGACCCATTTTTCCTGCTGGTTTATAAACTTCCTCCGCACTTCCTTGTTCTTTGATCTTCACCGTCTTTCTGACCTCACGTATTTTATTGACAAATTTCATTTTCCTGCTGTGGTATTTTAATCGAGATCTAAACAATGCAGCAGTGAAAGTTCATTAAAGACAGAAAAAAATAGCAATTAAAGGACTATTTAAAATATACTGAGCAGTACTTAAGTCAAACTACAAAATATTTTTAAAAATTGCATTTAAGATAAAAGCATCAATCTGTAAACAGGTTTTCCACAAAACTTCTCAAGTGCTAAAGTTTTACCTTCAGCCGGGTCAAATAATTCACTATAGGATTCCTGTATTACTACAAGTTAGGAAATAAATTTCTTATCATAAAAAAGGAACTGGATACTTTTAATATGTGTAAAAGTATAAGTCTATAGAAATGGCCATTTTTTTAATTTGGTAAATCGTCTGAATAAATCGGCAGAATAATCAATCATCATAAGTCGGATCGTGAAGGGAATTTATTCTAAACTGATGTAAAGTTTGGTTTTTCCTTCACATCATCAAAGTGAAAATACAAATTCAGAAACACAGATTTCTTCACACCTCACATGTTTAAAAGTATTTTTGCCTCAGGAGTGTAAAACAATTGTAATTTTGTCTTTAGAGAAGGAAAATAAAACCCGGTTCAGACACCAGAGCGACGCTGTTCATACCACAGTGGTGACCGATAGCTTTAGGGAAGTCAGCAGCCAGATAAGCCAGGAAAACTAAACTTATCAGGGAAAAAGAAAATTCAGTTTTCTTTTCAGAACAGATTTTCTGCTGACCTCCAAGAGCCAGATTATTAAATTAAATCAATAACTTCCTTTACAAAAAAAAAAAAAATTCTATGACGTCGTTTCCTGATAATTATTTGCATTTGGCTCGTTTTCTTCACAGTGTCTGAGCCAAATGACTGATACATGGCAGCAATCATTCCTCAAAAAAATAATGATTTTATCAGTTATCCACGACATATCGGCATTAATATGGATATGGGTCGATGTTGGTCCTTTTTGACATCAGTAGAGGTCAGAGAAGTAAAAGAATGTGGAAAATGTGACTCAAACAGAGAAGGAATATCAGCAGGTATTGATATAACCCCAAACATTCACATTAGTGCATCCCTAGATTTCATGTAGGAAGAGTTGAGACTTTCAGCTACTTCCATTTACTACCTCTATGTTTTACACAAGAACAAACAACAAATGGCCACTTTTAGAATCTTAATGATTAATCAATTACTAAATTAGCTAAAAATTATTTCAATAACCAATTAATCACCATTAATTCAATTAATCGTTTCAGCAACACAAACATTATCTTTCTTACTTTTTCTGTTAACCATCATCAGCTGTAGGCCCAAACACAAAGTAAAATCTGAGATTTAAATTGTTAACATGTACGCCATCTGCTTGTAGAATAAAAACACATTTATTCTTGTGTCTGTTTTTCCATCCATTTAAAACTCAGTTCATCTTTTTCAGGGCAAGTCATGTAAAAAAAAAAAGCATTACATTGAACCCTTTTACTTATGCTATTTAGATTTGAAAGGTTCCTTAATGGATTAGATGAATGATTTATGATGTTTCCTTTAAAATTCAGAAGTGAAATGCCTCAACAAAAGAAAGGAAGGAAGGATGCACATGAGGAAAACTGACTAAACAAAATGCTGAACAGTGAGAATCTGCTGCTTGTCATGACCTCAGTCGTTTCCCCTTTTCATGAGGGCGCCTGCTTCCTAAACAGTGATGTGACAACCACGTGATTCAGGCGCCTGACAAGAGGAAAGCAGCGATGTCTTTCCAAGGGGCTGTAAATCAACAGACTGGTGTAGTCAAAGTACAGTGGCTCACCTTGTTGACAGCAACTTCGTAGGTGACCGAGAAGCTGACGGTCAGATTGGCATAAAGACACAACTTGTCCTCATTCTTGACCTGAACTTCAATGCCATGAGACAGATGGGACACTGAAAAGAAAACAAAGTTAAACAAATTTTGGTTAAAACAAGAAAAATAACTTACATTAGCAGCACAAAGTTCTTTACATTTCAGATTTATTCAAAAATATTTCAGTTTTCCTGCTGAAGCTGCAGTTTGTCACTTTCACAAAAACGTATTTATTTTTACTGATTTATTAAATCTGTCGCATGTTGTGACGGTAAAACATCAGACAGATAATCAACTGTTATCTGACAAACACCAAGTAAATTTCACTCAAACATAGAATTGGGCGCAACTGTTTATTACGAGTCGTTTTAACAGCAGTAAAAAGGAGGGCCTGTCATAATAAATACAGCTGGACGATAAATTGTTGTTCTGAACACAGGCTTATGATGCACTGGGGAAACCCTACATGTGATTAATTAACCTATTTATTATTGTGAAGGTCTACTTATTTCATGTTCTTGTAGCCTAGAATACATCTAAAACGATTTACAGATAGTTTCTGTGCAGGAATCAGTCTAGTGCGTTTCATTAACATAGTGTTCTAGAAAAACCACTTAAAATGATCAGATTCTCTGAATTTACTATTTATAGGTAATGGATTAGTAAAATGAACATTGTTCTTTTATTCTATGAACTACTGACGACATATCTCTGAAATCCCAAGCAAGAATTTTGCATTTATTTGTAGAAAATGAGAAATGGTCAAAATAATGAAAGATGCAGAGCTTTCAGGCTTCAAATAATGCAAAGAAAATAAGTTCATATTCATTTAATAACAGCAATACTAATGTTTTAATTCAGGAAGAATTCAGAAATCAGAATTTGGTGGAATAACCAGGAGGTTTTCAAAGGGGTTCAGAGCAGTGGGCTCTTCATTTTATCCAGAGATGCATTTCATATTTAGCTTGTTTTTACATTCTTCATAAGACAATTTCTTTCTTTTAACTTCACAGTTGTTTCAAAAACTTTGGACACCCCTGCTTCAGGCTGCATTCTTGGAAATCAGACCTTTTTATGCGTTTTTTCATGAAGTAGTTTCTGTTTGGTCAGGCTTTCATAAATGAGTCACTGGAGAAATGCTCATTTGTTCACAGAATGGTTGGATGATTCAGTCTCCACGAGCCGGCGGTCAACTCTTCCTCTATAATTACTCATTTTGTCACCAGATCCGAGGAGAAATCTTCAAAAATCCTTCCGCTTATGAATAATGAGGACCACAGCGTTTTTTGTTGTTTTTTTTTTTACACATCATTCCCCAGATTTGTGCTTTAACAGACGCCAGAGGTTTCTTTGACTTCAATGGTTAGCTGCAGAACTTCATGAAAATTAGTATTTTTCTTTCCAAATCACCTTCAATCAGTGGCTTTTTTAATGCAATCATCTTAGCGGATCAACGGATATCTAAAGTACTCAGTCAATTTTGAGCATCAAAGCAGAGAATATAAAGCAACAAAATTTACTTTAAATGCCTGAAATCATCTTTTCACTTTGATTGTGACACAATATATCAATTAATTGCAAGATGAATTAAAATTAGCTCAGTAACTTTCATGCTTTGGTCTCAACTAGCTTCATTTTCTGAAGGACTATTTAGTTTTCAGAGACTTTATAATTAATTTTATTTGTTCTTTTGTTTATTTATTTTGGATATTTAAAATGTCTTCCACTTCCAGTGTTAAATGTTCATTAGAACATCCATTATTATGCTTAAAAATGGCCTGAAACAACATCATCATTTATCACAATAACTTCTGGGACGATTTATCACTCAGTAAAATCTGTTACCATGACAGGATTCATTATGGGTTATTTTCAAACTCATTCATTTTAGACCAAGTCTGTAACATGGCAAAATGTGAAAAAAAGTTGATACATTCTAGCTTAAAGGCTTTATTTTAAAAAACCAAGTGCTAGTTTTTATAGTCCCACTTCTCCTCTTGTGGGTGAGAAGAGCTCAAACTGTGCAGCAGGAAACACAAGACACAAAACTGTTGTCAGCAGATTAGCAAACAGTGCTAATCAATGTTACAAAGTTGCTGTCAGAGTCGTGTAAAATCTACAAAATGACCCTTTGGACTAATAAAAAACAACAAAGTCATGAGAGTGAGACTTGAACTGTTTTAAAACCTTAATATGTGCAGTAGCTGCAGCAAAGTCCACTGATTCTGGCTCTAAAAACCTGCATGTAGGTTACCAGAAAGGACAAGGTCCATTTAGATAACTGATAAGGTTTCACCAGTACGCTCCGTCATCAACTCAGCCGCTTGCAAGAATTTCCAGGTAGCAGAAACATAAAAACACACAAAGCGTCAAACTTTCCCCTGTGTTTAAAACCCGCTTTCTTTCTTTTTTTTCCTTTTTTTTGAAATAGAGAGAAAAGATGTTTACTGTGCGGGTCGGGTGGAGACAAAATCAAAACAAAAAGTCATATGAGAGCAGATCTAGGACAACTACAAGCACTAAAGTTTGTCTGTTGCTCAGATTTAGAGCAACAGAAATGCATTTATGACATGTTATGTTTCCTGCCTTCAACCACTTAGATGTTTGAATAGCTTCTGCTTTAGCTATTAATCTCACCTCTGCAACAAGCACCAGTTTTACTGTTTTGGCTCTAAAAGTGTGAAACATGTGATTGTACAACCTCCTGACACACAGCTTCAAGCTCTTCCGACAGTCGGCCAGCAATGCTATGCTCTCTAGATCAACTGTAAACATTCAATCAGCAGCAATTTACTGAGAAATGAGCTTCAACCAATTAGCTCTGACAAAGTTATAATACTATAACTCCCTATTGTTGAATTTTACAAAGCAATCCTTGAGTAAAAGTAGACCAACTGCTTGTTGTGGAAAACCCAGATTTTACAAAGTCACAGTTTCATAATATGCAATAAACCATAATATTGCAGTTTTGACAAAATCTTGGACAAAATAATCCAAGAACACATTCTCAAATTTCAATAAACTTTAAACTAATGAACAATGAGCACTGCAACTGGAAGACATTTTAAAATCCAATATAAATAAATACAAATAAAATCACACTTAAGTACATGTAAACAAAACTGTCCCTCAGAAAATAAAGCTATTGAAGCCAAAGTACCAGAATGACAATGTTAATTATCCAGTTTTTGGTCCAACCAATAAATGTTGAAAATGGAAATTATTGCGCTTTATTTTTATTTATTATGTGAATAAATCTTCCCAAATGCAGGAATAATTTACTTTTTATCAGCTCTATAGAGAAAAGACCAACAAAGCCAAGTACTCCCCCTCTCCCACGTGTTGCTGCACACTTGTGTCTATCTGGCTGAAAGCAGAAATAATAATCAAAGAGCAAACTCCTCATGCTTGAAAAGAAAAACTAAACAAGCAGCAATAAGTCATGCTACCTGACATTACTTTGCAAAATATCTACGGAAACCTCACATCACCAGACTGAAACCACTACGGCAGCAGCAGAATTACACCGCAACTAAATCTACTGACTCACAAAAGGGAAAAAGAAACTGCTGTCAGATTAACCAGAACATTTCAGCCTCTATGAGCAAAAACGTGTATTGTCTTGAGTAATCAAGAGAAGATCTGGTTTAAAAATGATCAAATATGGAAATGGATCCATTTTTAAAATAAACTGGGCAACATAAAGAACTCAGTAGATTTTTTAAAAAATTTAAAAATATATTTTCGCACCAATTTAAAGTTTTTTTTTATTGTTTAACATAAAACATACACATTTCCTTAAAAATAAGGATTAACTTCTCAACACAAATATTTAGCTTAAAGGTGCTAACTTGCTGCCAAAAGATGCTAACATTAACTCAGCTAGCTCGGTGAAGGTATTACCTGGTAAATTTTATCGGGCAAATATTTTAAACATATTTTCTGCTTCCTTAACTTCTTAATAGATAAGACAAGAAGGTTACAGAGTCTATCTGTAACTGGAGCTTAAGCTGCCACAATAAACGTTACCTAATCGGTAAGCCAGCTAGCAGCTAAGCTAGCTGAGGTCTGTTGCTGCAAACATTAGCTCCTGTGTTAAAATTGTTTATTTATTTGGGGACTTTAAGTTACTAAAAGCCTGATTGAAGTATGCACGGTGGCATTCAGATATAAACATATTTCAAAGCTACATGTTTTTGAGGAGTTTTACATTGACGTAGGTAACAATTAGCTCTGATGCGCTACCGCTGCAAAACATCACGACTGCGGTTAAATGAGCCAGTTTCAATGTCTTACTCGCTTTTTACTACTGTTTTCACATCAGTATTATATAAAACAAAATCAAAAACACCAAATACAGTTATCCGAATTTGACCGATGAAGGCCTGGAGTACACCAGAAGTTTAATCGCGTCACTTCTGAGAAACAGATCCAAACTTTTATTCATTTTTTGTCCCCATTTCAGTCAGAAATGAATCTGTGGTGATACTTACCAACTCCGAAAGACAGGAGGAAAATAAATGCCGCACATCGAGCCATGATCGCTGACGGGTTTGGATGTTCAGTCACTGAGGAGCAAAAATAAAAGCAGAGAAAAGTGAGGAGACGTTGAGTCGACCAGGCTGTGCCAGGAAATACAAGTCATATGACTGTGTGTCAAACCTGAGGGAGGTGAAGACCGGAAGTCTGGCTTTATTATAGCCTGTAAATCATTTGAAATTACACTGAGAGCCTCTGAAAAGACCTACAAATGATTAGAGACCTGTTTAGCCACGCCTTTATATGTAAAAAAAAAAAAGAAAAAAAAATTGTAGCGGAATGAGAAAAAAAGGGCTTTTAAAAATAAAACAAAAATGTATTTTTGAAAAAAATAAATTTTTGGGACCTTTAGCACAAAATGTTGAACTTTGCTTTGTTAAAATAATTTTAACAAGCATAACTTGTATAAAAGAACGTGTGAACTTTATCTATTGTAAAACATATTTAACATATATATATATATATAATATATATTATTATATATATAAATATATATATATATATATATATATATATAATCTTTGAAACTATTTGAAACTACAGAAACCATTTGAAACTACAGAAACATGTAGCGTCAACATATATTTCTATCATTATATCATGCATGATAAACAATTTTAATACAGGAGCTAATGTTTGCAGCAACAGACCTCAGCTAGCTTAGCTGCTAGCTGGATTACAGATTAAGTAACGTTTGTTGTGGCAGTTTAAGCTCCAGTTAAGGGTAGACTCTTGAACCTTCTTGTTACGAGACAGATAATCGGTGAAAAGATCAATAATCCCTGAGCTGCTACACTGCTCTGACCAAAACCAACCAATAAGGGTCTCAGCGCTGTCAGTAAACCTAATGTACTGGCTGCTAATGGCTGAGAAACAAACATAGCATGGCCGTCATATTGCACTACTGCCATCCTTTGGATTTTATGACTTATCATTCCTCAAATTCTCCTGAGACCAGTATTTTCAAAAAAACTAATTATCTTTCCTTTTCCTTCAACACTGTTTAACTAAGCATCCTTTGTCAAAATTTGCTTTATGACATGCTTCTTCTTCTTCTTTTATAGCAGATCACAAGCAACAATCATGCATACCGCCACCTACTGTACATGAGTGTGTAACAACTCACCCATTAAATTCTGTTTATAGATTTTGCATCATGAAGATAGGATGTGCTTCTTTTCCTTGATTTTTATTGGCTATAGGCAAAAAAAAAAAAAGTCAAATAGCATTACCGCCACCTACTGGTATGGAGTATTTACGACTGTTGCCTTGACGGTTCCCACCTTTTTCAGAAGGCGAACCACACAAAACATTTTAGCTTTGGATTGGACTGGATTTTTTTTTAATTTCAACACAAATGTATTTATAACTAAATTGCAGGGTTAAAAACTAAACTTGGACTCCTTTTAAAGTCTGGTTTTTGACTTTTGAGTATTGGAGGTTCTTCAAAACCTCAGAATGGCTATTACGCACAAAAAAAAACAACCCATTGTAACATTGTAAGTAAATCAATTACAAACATATACATTACTACAGCATATTTTAAGTGTACATTTTATTTTGTGTCTTAATGCTAACAAAATGGGGGAAAAAATCAATTGTGTTGCTAATGGCAGTTAGCCTGCAGCGTTAGCCTGATGCTATTTTAATTTGCAGCAGGAAGACCTGCAAAGATTTAAATTAATAAAATTTCCATAAAAAATGTAAAAAAAACTCAAATTGTGTCAATGCTTAAATATTTCAATCGTGTGCTAAACTGAAACTTTCCATTATTTGTTTAAATTTATGTTTTTATTTCAAAACCGATACCAAAAGGTACAACTTTCTTCTGGTTTTGCCAAAATACAGCAATCATTTGTAAATTCTTTGTAACGTTTTGTATTAGTTTTATAAATTAAAGCTCGTTTTCCTTGATTATGTTTTTTCTTTTATGTTTTTAAGTGTTTTCACTGACACAGGAGCAGTAAAACTGAAACTTTACAAAAAACCCTAAAATCCAACAGATTAACACAATTATAAAAATCCGACAGAAACAATAATTTATTGTGTGAAGCAGTAAATCTGAAAAATACTCATACAAATGAGAATATGTCTAATCAAATCAGTTTTCTTTGTGTTTCATGGTAGTCCCTAAACCTTTCCATACACTGCAAAAACACAAAATCTTACCAGGGATTTTCGGTCCAGTTTCTAGTGCAAACATCTTAATACACTTGAAATAAGAGAAGACTAACTTACAAGTGACGTCTTAGCGAGATATGGGAGTTTATTTTAAGACATTAATTATTTAATACCAATTAAGTTCTAGTTTAACTGGCTCTGTTACCTAGCAACGCCAACCAAGCCCAACCTGTCGCCTAGCAACCCGGTTCTAGAGCCACTGGCTGATTGTTTCACTAAAAATATGAGAAAAATGTAATAAGTGAAGCAATCATACAATGGAACCAGTGCTTTTTAAAAATCCATAGTAAGGAAGGTTTGACTTAAAATAAGCTCATATTTCTTGCAAGTTAATTTTGTCTTATTTTAAGTGTACTAAAATATTTTCACCAGAATCTAGACCAAACCTACTTGGCAAGATTTTGTGTTTTTGCAGTGTAAACGTCTCCAAAGCCCCACATGGAAACGTGTAAATAAGAGAAATGAATGTTTTCTGTGTAGCATGACAACGGATGTTTTTTTTTTTTTTGTGCTTTTAATAAACCTAAAGGTTAACAAAAAAAACAACAAAAAACCCCCAAAAACTATCGAGCAGTAAACTGACGAACGGGTCACTTAAAATATCACATGTGGTGCATGTATAAAAATGTTTGAAGGAAATAAAAAGGCAACCAAGAATATTGTATGCATATACTTGAACAACTGGTTTAGCAGCGTAAACACTCCTTTTAAACAGAAATAAATGCTCCTTTTTGGCACAAACTCCGCTTTTAAACAATGGGTGCTCATTTGCTCACTGCTTTCATCACCTGGCTGCTAAAACTGCCAAACGTAACTTCAGACCCCACAATATGCAACATACTTCCAAAACATCTTTGAATGCCAAGCCCAACAGTCCAACATTTCACCACAAGTGAAGAAACAAGCATCAGTTTAATATTTTGGATTGTTTTTCTTTTCTTTCCAACATGTGATACACTTAGAGCACTGATAGGCGTGTCAGCATTAGCTTGGGAGGATGGACGAAGAAAAAGGAAAAAAAAAAAAAGATTTCATAACAAAGACCATATTGTTTTAATCTATGGACAAAGGATCTAGGTCAGAAAATAAATATTTTTTCTCTCCATTAAAAAAGAGCAAACAGAACTGTGTGTCTTCTTTGTCCCAACTCTCTCAGAGGCACTGAGAAAATATGGAGGAGATTCTCTTCTTCTTTTGTTTTTGAAACGGGCATGCAGTCCACAGGGTCACATGACCCCTGACGGAAACCCTGCGGAGCGGTAGCCATTCACTTGTCGGTCGTTGGGTTGAAGATGATAATGGTTTAACATCCACGGGAGCAAAAGATTGAAAGACCGATCACTCAGGACACCTGTTACTCTAAACTGGAACGGCTGCTTCTCTCTTCCTTTAACTAGGCCACGTAGTTGTACTGGTTGGAGTTTTCCTTGTCGCGCTCCATATAGTCCCGGTCAATAAGAGACTCTATCCTCTTCTTTAGGTCAGCAGGCTGGGAGGGAGGAGAACAGGAGACAAGATGGTAGCAAACAATCAGAGGTCAGCAGTAAAAGTCACTTTTTCTTGTGTAACGTTTTTGAAACAATCTACTTTAGGAGTATTTTTACTACTCTGCACTTTTTACTTTCACTTGAGTTATTTTATTTTGAAGTATTTCTACTCTTACTTCAATAAAAATTCAGGATTTTCTATGCTAACAATTACCAAACAACACATAAAATTATGGATAAATGAGGTCATGTCCTTCTTGAAAGTGGAGAAAATTAGAAATACAAAAACTGGAAACTTGAACAAATTCTACTCTAAATGGAAACCATTTATTACTTCAATGTAGACCCTTCTTTGCACCCAGATTTATTTATTTATCTTTCTTTTTCTTGTTCTTTTGGGATTGTGTATTTTTGCATGTGTACATGTGTTTTTTCACTATTAATTACTCTGTTTTACTATTGGAGGTGTTCTGCATGTGTTCCTGAAAACATGCACCTCAAAGTCAATGGTGTAAACTGTTTGTTTTTGCGCAACACTTTTGCACCCTGGAATCTATAAACACCTTTGTTCCATATGCAAAAATATCAATAAAAACGTAAATAAAAAGAAAAAACAAAAACCAATAAAAGTGATGCGAGATGAAAAACCAACAACCCGTTACCTTGACAGGAAATTTGAGCTGGTTGTAAACCTCAGACATCAAAAGATTATGGCTCAAAGTCTTCCTCATCTTCATTATCCGCACGATGGCCGCATCGATCTGGTACTGACGATCCTGAAACACTCGCTCTGTGGTGCTGGCTTGTTCCTCCACCTAAACACATCGGCTCATATGAAAACCTTTGACTTAGTATAGATCTACAATCTACATCAGGAAACTGTTTATACCGTCTCTTTCATCTGAATCTGGTTTATTTTGATCCTGAAGAGTTTGTGTTTGAAGTCATCGTTGCAGGAAAACTTGTCTCCGTCCTCCACGTCTTTGCTTTTCGGGATTTTGGTGAGGACTCGTGCTTTTCCGCACGCTAGCGACTGCAACGTCCGACGCAGCTCGCTGTCCTCTGTGAACCAAGAAACCAGGCGCCGTTCACACAAGATGTCCGACATAAAGACAGGAAGCGAACCGAACGGCGACGCGACAACAAACCTATTCCTGTAGCTACTTTGATTTCTTCGAGAGTGAACTCCTCTCCTTCGTTAAACATCAGCAGCACCAGTGTTTGGAAAAGAGACACCTGCAGCTCCTTCTTGCCCTTTAGCAGGAAAACATCCAGACAGCAGTTTATATATACGATTAGGGCCATAGAAAAAAATAACACAACAAGAATACAGCCATAAAGTTATAACAGAATAAACTTGTACAAGAATGAAGTAATAATAATTCAAGAACAAATTTGTATGAGAAGATCACAATATTACAAGAAAAAAGTAATAATATTATGAAAATAAAGTCTTAAAATGATGAGAATAAAGTAAGTGTAAGTAAATAAAGTATTTTTATAAGGATCTGATACAGAGGATAAAGTAAAATAAGTAATATTTCAAGAATAAAGTTATAATACAAAAAAAAGGGTTATAAAATTTTTAGTGTATTTATATGTAAATAAAGTATATTTATTAGTATCTAATAAAGTAAGTAATATTATGAAAATAAAGTCATAAAATTACGTGAATAAAGCTGAAATAATTCAAGAATAAAGTCATAATATTCGAAAAATAAAGTTATGAAATTTGAGAATAAAGTAAGTGTAAGTAATTAAAGTGTCTTTATTAGTATAATAAAGAGAATAAAAGTAATTTCACAAGAATAAAATCAAGTTACGACTTTATTCTCTTGGTTTCATTTACCAAATTTTCTCAGCGTAGCATTAATATTCTGTCACAAATATAATTGTTCCTGAGCCAAAATTAAAAACGACATTCTAGGATAAAGCAGAATTAATAACCTCTTTAAATTCTGCTTTTAAGACGCAGTGACCCAACGTCGACTGCCACTGCAGCTTCCTGCCGCTGTGTTTGCCCAGGTAAAACGTCTTGAAGATCTCCTGCAGGCGCACCATCTGGACAGAGATAACAGGTCGTAACAAAGGTTTTTACGGCTTGATGATGTTCCAGTCATGTGAATATTTGCTCGGCGCTAACCTCAGGAGGCAGGTGGACCTCCATGGGGACGTAGGTCGGCCAGTAACCCATGGTGAGGATGTTGACGGTCAGCTCAATGTTGCCGGGAATGTTTTGGCACTGCATGTACTAGAAAGCAGAAACACGACTTACTGAGCTGCACAAATTCACATTTCTGCCGCCGTGCGTCAGCTGACACAGGGGCAATTCACAAGCACTTGAGCAAAAGCCCTGCAGTGGGGCGAGTCGGGGCAAGTTTGCAGCATCAGAGAGTTAGCTGCAGCCTGACAGAGGCAACACAAGGCGCCACAAACAAAAACCACACACAACTGGGGTTGAGGGTGAGAAGGAGCTGAAAATAGAGCAGCTGCTAATTTTATTTTGCACCACATCACAATAAGACTCCGCCAATACGTTACTAAGAGTTTGGTAGTAACTAGTTACATTTACCCGAGTAACATTTTGGAAAAAAAATTACTTTTTTGAGTATTTTGACTTCAGTAACTAAATTATGAAGTATTTCTACTCTTACTTGAGTGAGATTTCTGGATTTTCCCCCACTGAATAAAAAACAAACATGTTTTAACCAAACGTTCGTTCACCAGACACAGACAGTTTCTGTTTATCAGTTTTTATTAAAAGACATTGATTTGGAAAATATGTCCTTTTCCTGGTTCTGAAAATTTGGTGGAAAACATTCACAAGGGGAGATTTTCTAGAAAAAAAACAAAAAAAAAACAAGAACATTTATGAGCTCTAAAAGTCATAAAATTTGCTAGAAAAAAACTCAGATTTTGAGATGCATCTCAAATATTTTCTACAAAAACAAGGGCATTTCTAAGCACTAAAATTTCCACTTAAATTTATACTTTGGTCCATTTGATGATGTAAATTTTAAATATTAAATGATTAATAATTAATCATTTTTACCAAATACTTTCTTTTCCTCTTGAGTAATTTCTGAGGTGACTACTTTTTACTTTTACTTGAGTAGAAATATGTAAAAGTAGAACAATGTCTGGGTACTCTACCCTCGTCTGGTTTCTTATGAAAATGCATTAATAAAGTCTGTAATAGGTGTTAAATAAAAAATAAAAATCAGTTGTAGTGTAAAAGTTAAAGAAGAGCTTTTGGAGTATCGTGCAAAATTAGTCACTTTGTCCATTGTAAATCTTTTGATGCCTTTTTTAATTTATTTAGAGATAAATTTAAGTACTTATATTTATTAAAGGGTGTTAAAAATCCACATATAAACCTTCACACAAGCAGGACAGACGGTTTTAATGCAGAGCTACTTTACCTGTTTGAACTGCACCATAATGTCTTTAGAAAGCTCCATGTCTTTGAACATTCCCTCCAGTTTGCTGGTGAACGCCGCGCCACATTCTGAGGAAGCAACAGCAACGCAGTCAGAGGTTTATTATTATTATTCTGTCAACGTTAAGATTCAGTTTTTTTGAAGGATGAACTGACCGTGTTTCAGCTTCGACAACATTGATTTTTCAGCATCCACTGAGGCACTTTTTCCAACCAGCAACCTCTTGGCCAGGTCCTTTTTGTAAAAAGCCTCAAATACATCTTTTCCTAAAATGACAACAAATCATTACAGATCCTCATCTCCAATAAAAGTTCCTACAAGTCTGAACCAGAAATGATTCGTGCCATCAAAACTGTTCACACACTGTTAAAATATCAATGAATTCGTAAAATGAAATAATATTATTGAATATCTTCTCAGTACCTGCAGGATTTTGTGACTCTTTCCGTAATTTTTCTGCAGTAAAAATCAAAGCGTTTGTGGTACTAATTTGGAAATATTTGCACTTATTTATGGCGGTAAATGTGACTTTTTATTACTCGTTGAATAGATCCTCGTTCAGTTAAACCTGAGGCAGCCGCCTAGTACAAGTAAGAGCCCTGTTTGGATCAAGGGCCTTGAGTTTGACACGTGTGCTCTTAACCAATGTGAGAGACAAATATACAAGAACAAAATGGCTGCAGGAAGAGTGAGAACAACATGAAGGAGCTTTGCAGCCTGAAGTTCGTGGATGTATCAAATTAATATTTAAATTTATTTTGTAAAGGACATACAAAGTCTTTGTCTGAATAACAAGGTTCTGGAGGCTGGCAGAGTGAGTCTGTAGTAACAAACACGTAGGCTACATGTCCTACAGTCCCACCTCGCAGTTAAAAGCTACACTAGCTAAGCTGAACTAGCTAAGCTAATTTAGCTACAGTAAATATCACTGATATTTATCTTAGATTCACACAGAGGTGGGTAAAGTACTCAAAAACTAATTGAGTAATAGTTGTGATGTACTTATATCGTTTATAGGTTCGATAAAAAGCGTTTCAAGCGTCAGCTTGAAACCTGTGGCTCATTGATTGTTGTCATAGCAACTGGCTGTCAGCTACGCGACGTCACCTGGAAACCAAAACATGAACTGAAGGGCCGACATTAATTTACCATATATAAATCTAAAGATAATCATGATCTTGTCCAGCATCTTCTCCAGTTCTTCATCGGTCGCCTCTTTGTTTCCGGCCCTCAACTTCGAATCGACGTGTTTGGCTGGAAACAGACAGACAGACAGAAACCATGAACTCCTGCAGCGCCACCGTGGCGACGGGGTGAAAGGTCAGCTACCGACCGATGAGCTCTGCAGGCTTGTTTGGCCGCTTGTTGATGAAGGTTTCGAAAGCCTCCTTCATGGCGTTGACGAACTTCTCGTTCTTCAAGAAACAAACGTCGATGATGTGATCCACCTTGTCCTTGAAGTCCAGCAGCTCCTGAACCATCGTTTTGTCTTTTTCAGGGTTGATTACGATTGTGCTTCCAAACGCCTGCAAAGAACACGATTTAATCAGAAACTAATGTTAACTCTCAGGATCTAACTAGGGTTTTATCTCCGGCTAATGATTAATTAATTGGATTTAAAAAATTGGCGCTTTGTGAAGATGTTTTTTTTAACCTCCAAAGCCTTTTTTATACCACAATATAAATATATTAAAAGATACACATTTTAAAAATACTTTTAATTAAGAAAATAAACATTTAATTTACTAAAATATAATAACAGCATTCTTCTAGTGAATTTGACCCAGTTGAAGCTAAAACTGCTAACTGAGGAGTTTTAGGTAAACAAAGGTTTTTTTTTTATCTTAAATGCAAAAATTATAAACATTTTGTACAATCTTAGCTTAATTACTGCTCTGAATATATTTGTTTTGAGTTTGTAAATTCAAGTTAACAATTAATTGCTGAAGTGGATTGTTTAAATAATTGATTAATCTGATTAATCTAATTAATCATTAAGTAAGTTTCATTAGTTTCATCCACAGAAACACCGGTCAGATATTAATACCTGTATTAATCCCAATGTTGAAATAAAAAATCATAAACTGAGCACATTCTCACTGATACCCAATCAATAAGAGCCAATCGATTCAGTCTAACTCTATGCTCTGTGCTGTGAGCGACATCATGTTACCTATTTAAATTATATTTACAATTCCAAGTTTCTGCACCATTTGAAATAAGGTTTGTAGCAGATTTATTGTTTATGTTGTTTTTGTCAGTTTCTTTATTATTTACTTTACTTTGGCCGTTTTATTCCTGATTGCGCTGACTGAAGAAATTAAAGTTGCTTTTACATGTTTGTATTTAAATCTGCTCTACTGGTCCAGTTATCAAATAAAGTTGTAATTTGGTACATTTATGTCTGTGTTTAAAGAAAGGGGGAACATTTTACGTCAGTTCTGTTTTTCTGTTCGGATCGGTATCAGCCGATATCAGACCTCAGATATCGGAACTGGATCGTTTCATCCCTGGTTTGGTCCAATCTGGTCGTACCTTGATGTATTCTATCCACTGCTGCAGCAGCACCTGGACGCCGCCTCGAACCCGACTGAAGAGCTGATACAGCAGAGACAGATCCTGGATCCTGTTCTCGTCCAGCAGGTGGGTCAGCCCTGCCGGTTTTCAACGACACACCGTCAGGTTCATGTTCCCTCAATCTGGCTAAAGACTAAAAACATTTTTCTCTCTACAACAATCGCAGTCATTATATTTTCATTTGATTTTAGGAGACAGAACAAAAAAAATAGTACATAATTTTGCAGGAGAAGGATTAACATATATAAATATAAATCTGTAAAGTGTGGCATGCTTCTTTGAATAAACAAACAAACTTGAGGAATTCTGGGTAGAAAATATTTACCAATAAACTTTTTTTTAATGTACATTTTAAACTGTAAAATTTATTTATTTTTTACTAAATGATGGGCAGGTTAATCATCTATTAAGTGGATCTGTATCCAGCAGAAGGGGGTTAAATACAAACGCACCCCACAGTTTTAGGTTCTCAGTCATAAAACAATGTATATTTTTTAATTATTTACTGCTTTGCGCTTGTATATTATGTCAAATTCAATAAAAATTCAATGTTTCTGCTTCTAATGTGGAAAACAATCATGACGGACTTTTAATAATTGTTTACTTTCTATGACAATGTGACCGGTTCTGCAGTACCTTTCTGCAGAATCGCAGTGAGATGTTCACCCAGCAGCTGCTTCTCCACAGTAGCAATGAGCGGTTTTCTGAGAAATAAATGAACCTTAGTTTAACAGCTAAATCTAATTTATCCTCAAGCTGCAAACTGAATGCAGTAAACCAACACTCACTGCGTGCTCTGGTCCAGATATGTGATTACTCTGTCAGCTTCTTCCTCCAGGCGTTTGTTGACATGATGGAGATATTCTGGCACCTGAACAAAAATAAACTGGTATCACATGAAGCTCTGACCGCAGAGGCACTAAAATTTACTGAAAAATTCAAAAGTATTTTTAAGTCCTCATAAACATACAGTTTTCTTCATATTATCAGGAAGTTTAAAGCCAGAATGACTGAAAACAAGTCAAATATAACTTAAAAGGAAAAATGGTGATCAAGTAATTCCAGGTCTGATTAGTAGCTTGAGTTAAAAAATCAGAAATAAACAAAAATAACAAATGACATCCGCTAAGTTCCCATGGAGTTTATGCATACACAGTATTAGATATTAGTTAAATTTCAAAGTACAAAGAAATTTATATTTAATACGTATGTACGTATTAAAATTTTGTGGTTTGCAGTTTATTTACTGTAAGAAATTGAAGCTCTTTGTGAGCATCATTGGACAATCTTGTACAGATTCCCTGCATATTTACTGAGCTGAAAAATCTGCAGAAAACCCAGAAACATTCTGCATTTTTCTAAAAATACAATCAGGAAAAAGTGAGTGCCTCCAGAGTGTGAGGTCACATAAATCACCTCTCGCTCCTGCATCAGCCTCTGTCCCTCTGCGGCGTAAAGTCGATTGGTTTCCTCCAAAAAGCGCTGCTCAAACGAGTCTTGATAAATCTGTTACAGACAGAGAAAACAGAGGATCCATAAGGCCATTTGTCAACAAGAACGTCGACATTTCTCACCAGCGCTGTGAGCAGAAAAAAATCACAGAGATCAGATGTTAACATGATCCAGGATTAGTTGAACATGGTGGCCTAAATATGCTCTAAGTTTCCTATTAACTGAGAAAAATGCTTTTTGATTACGCCAAAAATCATAATTACTTCAAAAAAAAACTGATCTTTTATTAAATTTTTCACCCATAGAGTTCGCCATTTTTTCGCCATTCGGACATCCATGTGACAATATTTTAATAAGATCAATAAAAAATAAACAGTCTATAATGTTGTCGTTTTTACATCTAAAATAAAAACTAATCGTGGATCCCTTTAAAGGGTTACCTGGAGGTCAGAGAGCATGCTCAGTAGGCTCCTCAGCAGACTGCGGTCGATGGCTTCTCCGTTTCGTTCCCTCTCGATAAGCAGCAGAATCCCGTCGATGGTTTTACTCTGGACCTTCTGGTCGCTGATGATGTAGAACCTGAACAGCTCCAGGCCCATGTCCCTGCACAGCACACCAGTCCGGGTTCAGGACCCACAGAACCGCCTCGCAGCAGCTGAAAAATCACTCATCACTCACCAGATCGATGGCAGCATAGAATTTTGTAAAACATAGGTGCGATCCAAAAACAGAAATATACTCCTAATCATGATCTGTGGAACAGAAACAAAACAAATGATGAATAAAAGCAGATTCCCAACAAAACTACTAAAGTCTGACAGTGAGCTGCACCAAATCTTCAATTTCTTTGTAAAACATAGAACAACAGACCGGAAAACGCATCACAATATAAACTTTTCATATCAGTTGATAGATAGTTATTAATTTGATTTTTGTTTCAAATAGCAGAAATACCTCCAAACTGGTTTATACACATTTTTCACTCCACAAAGCGGCACAACCGCAACTGCTGCTGTGACAGTTACTCAGCAGGTTGTTGCTAGGTGACCAAAGAGTGAGTGAGTTGCTAGGTGACCAAAGAGTGAGTGAGTGAGTTGCTAGGTGACCAAAGAGTGAGTGAGTTGCTAGGTGACCAAAGAGTGAGTGAGTTGCTAGGTAACCAAAGAGGTAGTGAGTGAGTTGATTCCACCGGTTTAGGGGGTCATGAGAGGTTGAGGAGCTCAAGTCTTTCCTCTGCCTACATTTCCCAGAATGCTGTCTGATTTGGACACCCCTTGTTAAAGATTGATCATAAGTCTCCAGACGGTAATTCATTGGCTTTGAAATATTCAGGTAATTGATTAATCCATTTACTGATTTTGTTACTTCTAATGAAAACTGATTGTATTGTTTTATTTGGGGGTATCAGAGTAAACATAAACAGGCTCAAGAGGCTGGAGTTCTTTTGCAAGACACTGGACATCCAATTAGTCTTGTTGCACTTCAAATCTATCAACTCAGATAGAAAATGTGTTTAAACAATCCTGGGAGTTAAACTGTTTTGAAAGAGAGACGCTCATCAGCCAGAGAGAAGAAGAAACATCAGGTGAGAAGAGCTTTCACGCTTTGCTGACCCCACACGTTAAATCCTGCGGAGGTCAAGCTGTCATTTTCTGTCAGAGTTTGTAAGGGAGGTTAAATTGGGAGCTCAAGTTTCAGCTGTGCAGAGGCGTAAACAAGCGCTCCTTCACAGCTCTTTGACTGGGTCGGCACGTCTCATCCCTGGCAGCTTAACATCAAAACCTCAAACAGGCTCCGCTTTGACTGGTCCGCCCAGCGCCAGCAGAAACAGCTGTACAAGCTACCTTAAGGTTTTATTTTATTTGACCATTTTACAGGATTTTGTAATCTGAGGTTTACAAAATTGTCCAAGTGAATGAATACCAACTTTCTACTTTTGAAGGAAGCAGCAAAAAGAAAATATGTTGCAGATTTATTTCCTTATTCTGGAATTTAATAAATATACAATTTTGAAATCCCAACTGATCTAAAATTGGAGAATTTTATTCTGATTTATCATCAGACAAAACACTATTGCTTCCTACTTTGTATAATTCATATTTTCATGCAAAATTTAGCAGAAAAATTTTAACTATTGATGAATGATTGTGGATTTTAGGTTATATAAATTTCTTTATTTTAATTAATTATTATCCCCTTTCTACTCATTAAATTTCTTCTTTATTATTATTATTATTTACTCTAATAGTTACAACAAATGTGCAGAAGTGAAAGGACTCACCATTTGTCTGCAGTGATCTTGCCAGCACTTGTCGATTTTCTTCAGGAAGAGGACGCTGTCCAAGGCATCCGTAAAACCCAGGTTAGGGCAACAAACGACTTTAATTCAAATTTATACTTGAAATTATTGTGTCTGTGACATTTACACAGCAAAAATACAAAATCATACCAAGTAATTATGGCCCAGTTTTTAGTGCAAACATTGTAGTACACTGATAATAAGACAAAACTATCTTACAATTTATAAGAGCTTGTTTTAAGTTAATAATTTGTTAATATTGATGAAAAAGTTTTAGCTTCATTGGAAGATTATTTCACAAAAACATGGAAAAAATATCTTATCATAATTGAAATAATCTTCTCTAGTTATCATAAATATAAAGGAGTTATTGACTTAAAACAAGCTCATATTTCTTGTAAGTTAGTTTTGTCTTATTTCAAGTTTCCTGAGATATTTTCACTAAAAACTAAACCAAAACTAATTGGTAAGATCATTTTATTTCTATTTTTAGCTTTCAAAATATAGAAAAATATAAAACCTTTGCAAACAGAAGATGAATAAATGTTCTTCTGTCTCTTGATATTTGTGTAAAATTAGGTAAATACAAAAAGCACAAAGTCTCCAACTTGATCATTTTTGTGGAAATTCATCACAATTATTCCATGAAAATTTTGACTGAAACCTGCATTTGCTATTACATTTGTACTTAAACACATCAAATGTCACTTTATGACTTTTAGATGAACTTGTTAAGACAAAGAACAACGAATTACTGCTTAAAATGACCCAGAAAGTGTAATGGATATTCTCTGAACTGATCAATCTGTGCCTTGATGTGGTCTTCACACACGGTCCTCAGCTGTTTGTACAGTTTGGCGGATATCTTGTGGGAGCAGAGGTTTTCAACAGCCTGGGGAGACAGAGGAGGGAAAGTTTCAGCGGCCGGCGGAGCGAACAGGCAGCCGGCTTCCCGTTCAGAACCGATACCTGGTAGAGCTCTTCTAGATTGTACTTGATGGAAGTGCTGTTCTGAATGGCCTCCACAGCTTCTTTCAGCTTCTGCCAGGTCTCCTGCGTGTAGTTTTCTGGTAACTTGGGTTTTTCTGTAATAAACACACAACACTGAATGTAGACAAGACAGTGGAGCTCAGTTTATACTAAGCAACAGCTTGTCTTTTTCTAAAAATGCTTATTTTATGCAGTCTTTAAACAGAGTGACTTCAATAAAACGATTTTGCAAATTTGGCCCCCAGTACATGTATTTAGTGAGTTTCTATTTTTAATTAGGACAAAATAACAGAAAGTAAAACCTTCTTAGTATTACTGATTAAACTTTAGCTTTAATAACATAAAGCTACATAATTTTTAAAGTTTAATAAGTAATACTTTTGTAAATTTATGTCATGATTTCTTGGTTAATGTCAAATTGTCATGATGAAGACATTTTGAATAAAGTCAACTTTGTATTAAAAGTGTCGATTTACCGAATGACACTTTATGACAACAGACAGTCATAAATATTCATGAGGACTTACTCATGTTCATGACAGGTTATGTCCCGTTTATGACGGCGTCATGACAGTCTTATTCACAACCTGTCAAATAAAGCGTTACCAGAAATTTTTGTGTCGACTTTAACATTTTCAATTTAAAAATATATAAACTTGTCATCAAAACATCATTGTAAAACAATTACAAAAAAATATGAACAATTTTGTACCTCTCAACTTATTCCAAAGGCCTCAAATGGCCCTTCAGCCACACTTTGGAAACCTCTGGTCTTGGGAATAGTTTGGTTGGAGTATATGTTAGGCCCTAGTTTGAAGCTTCAGTGGTTTAATCAACCAGTCAATAAATTCAATTTCCTTAATTTTGGGACAAAGGTGGTCGGCCAACACTTGCACTTGAAGCTGACCTTATACTCTGATCCGATCTAACTCAGCAAAGGTCTAAAATTCATAAAGAAATAAATACATTTCTCTGTTTATTTGTGTTTACATTAGCGGTGCACAGATCGGTAATCAGCAATCGGCCAGAAAACTGCAATTGATGCACAGCTAGTTTATACAAAGTCATTGTCCTCTTCTGCTCTGCTGTGAGACGTATGACTGGCAGGTCAGGGCCGGCCCAAAGCAATGAGAGTTAAGCATCTCATTACACCACTCCAGCCTGATAACATATCTATTTAAAATAACATTGAAAAGTGATTTCTGACATTTTTATAGTAATAGGTCAACCCCTTTCTGCTGTTGCCCCTCTTGGGAAAATACTATTTCAACCCAGGTGATTCTGGCCCTCTGTGCAAATGTTTGGACACCACCGGTACCAATTTCTGATGTTTTCCCTTTATTCAGATTTTTATCAATTCCAGTTGTTCATTTATTATTATTCAGCTCTTATAGCAGGGGTCCAAGGTTTGTGTCACATGGTCTAAAATCATTAAATTAAAAGGACTTGATTCTTTTACCAACTCACCAATAAATCAGCCATGAAAACTCAAGAGTCACCCCACTGTTGCCGACTCAGTGGCTTTCTTTCTATTTTTAGACCTGTGTTCACACTGCAGACTGAAGTGACCCAAATCCAATTTCTTTTACCTTAGTGCGACCTGTATCTGGTCTTTTCATGACAGTATGAACACCACAAATCAGACTTTCTTCAAATGTGACACAGGTCACTTGGATATCTGACGCATATCCGATCTTTTCAAATGCGATCTGAATGTCACTGACACCCGACAAACATCGTTATTCTGCATCCTGATAAGTGGGAAGGAAAATTACAATAATGAGGATTAGGTTGTTAATGTGCTGGTTCTGGTCGGACAGAGCCAGCACAGCAAAATCAACAAGATTTTTTATATTGTACAATTAGCTTACGATGGTATATATCTAATCAGTTAGCTATATCATTGGCATCAATGTTTACTTTAGCAAACACTGAGCACTATTTCTTTACAGCTTGGAAAAACAGCTTTGTATGTGTGACATTATTGCCCCCTCTACTGCGCATGTGGGACACTTTTAGGTTGTGTTTCACACCTATATGTTGCAAATATTTGGAAATGCGAAATGTTAAAGATCAGATTTGACAATAAAATAACAAAATCAGAATTGGGTCACTTCAGGTTGCAGTGGAGCCACAAAAAAAAAGAAAAAAAGAAAAGGTATTGGCCAAAAACGGAATGGCTTTTTAAAGATCGGTAATCAGGAATCGTGCAATCGGTGCACCACTAAAGGCCAGTATAAACAGGGACTTGTTATGTGTGTGACTTGTTCTCTGCACCAGTTCCCCCAGGTACCTCTGAAGTTCTTGATGACTAGTTTCTTGGCAGCACCGGGTTTGCTGCTGGAGAAGGTGCCGGACCCTGCGGTTTTCGTCAGTCCGTTCGCGTGGTGTCCCCCCACGCCACCGGCCAGGAACATGGCTTTGCTTTTGTTATTGGAGCACGAAGCAGCAGCAGCGGCGGCGGCAGCCTCCTCAGCCATTTTCACATCTAGTCCAATGAAATCCACCGAATCCTCGAACCTCAACTTCTTCTGAATGTGCAGCGGAGGAGTGGGAGAGCAGGAGGAAGAGGAGGAGGAGGAATTGAGGGTCTTGGGAGGCGAGGAGGAGATGGTGTCACTCGTGTCGTCCCTCTCGGAGCCGTTTATTTTCCTCTTTTTCGGAGATGTGATGTTCCCACTGTCGCTTTTGACATCAGTAGCCGCGGGTCTAGCCTCCTGGGTTGGCGGTGGTGGGGGATTAGGGGAAGATAAACCTGTTGGAAACATGAAAAATCGGGAATACTAATTCTTTACAGCCAGTCTTCTGATCCGAAACTTCCAGGCTTTGTCGAGGGTAGAGCTAAGTGTCCGATGGCCTTCGTCTGTCTTCGCAAGGGCAGTTTCGATTCACCCGGTTCGTTTATCCAGTTTAAAACAGACAATTTAATTAGAAACTACTCAACGCTTCTCTGATCCGAAGCCTCGTCTCTTTCTTGTTATTGCTGGCAGGAGAATAAAGATGGTTGGCTACTGCTTCCTCTTTTTTACCTCTCCGTCGTCTAACCGCGTCGTAAAGTGGTTCAGCGGCAGCGGTCGGGTCAAGCGGCCGTTAAAGGCAATAATTCATAAAACTTATCCAAGTGGAACACTAACAACCCCACATGATAGCGAAACAGACGTTAATACACCCAGAAATAATTTCACTCGTAAAAAGCTAGTCCGTGACCCCACCGGAAGTACTTTGTACAAAAGTACTTTTTGCTCAAGCGTGTTTTTTATATTAACCATGGTGCTCTGTTTGGTCCGGCCACCAGATGGCGCCAAAGTGACGCAATTTTCCTCATGTTTGATCAAAAATAGTGGAAAGAAAGAATCCACATAACAGGAAATTTAATAATATTCAGAGCTGAGTTGTGGCTAGCTACTCAATTACTTTTACTGCTAAACATTTTGGGAGAAAAGGACTTTTAAGAGTATTGTTGCTATACTGTACTTTTTACTTTTACTTGATTAACTGTATTATTAATAATTGCTGCTCTTACTTGACAGTGGGTCTGGATACTCTGTGAGTAACGTCACTGAATGAAGGTTACGCTTCTTTTAATCAAACAAATCACCAGACACACACAGTTTTTGCTTAAGTTTCATACATTTTGTATTGCAAAAACAAACAAACAAAAACAAACAACAAACAAACAAAAAAAAACAGACACACACACAAAAGATTTGACAAAATGTTTTTACTTTTACTTGAGTTTTTCTTGGATGGATACTTTTTACTTTTACTTCAGTAAAAATATATTGAGGCAGAACTATTTTTTATATGAGTAAATTTTTTGGGTAGTCTACTCACCTCTGATAATATATAAATATATCTAATGATATTTTGCATCGCTGTTGGGTTTGAATCCAACTGTATTTATTTCGCAATGTTTATTCTTTAATTTTAGTTTCTTTGATGCTTTTTGGCCAGGTGTTTTTAATTGTTACAGCCAAGTATTTCTCTTCTGGGAAACTTCTGTCAGAAAGTCTTTTTTTGGTGGACACAGTTCTAATTCTTCGAAAATCACATGTTCACTTCTCCAAATGTAAGAAAAAGTCTTTCAGAGCCTTTATAAATCACTAAGGAATTATTATTATTATTATTATTATTATTATTATTATTATTATTATTTACATGCAATAGAAAACTAAACCCTCACTTCTTTTAGATGTGATCTATTAAAATGTGTTTAAGATTTACGTTATACTTTATTTCAATGTTTTAATAATATCTAAATATTATAATGTCACAATGGAGAGAAAACAAAGTAAAATAAAAAGTCAATTATCTAAATAAAATAAAAAAAAAAAACTACATACATTAACACTGAGTCGATTTCTACCTCTGGTTATTATTACCTGTGGTTTACCTGTATTTTGAAACTGCAGCACAAAACCCCCCGTCATTGACGTTCTATGTGACAAAACCCTCTGTCACCTAGGCAGCGTGAGTTAACCTTCCTTAACTGTCGTAAAATCACGTAAATCTCATACAGCTAAAAAGGAGCGTGGAAATCTGCTGCAGCAACAGCTAATACATGAACAATATTTACTGATTTTCCTTTGCGCTTGCCCGACTTGGTAAACTACGTTCGGGACAAGCTGTGACATACTTGAAGACCGCGGCACCGGAGACCAGAGAGGATGTTTAAAAAGTACGTGTCTGTGTTGTACCGTTAGCTAGCAGCACACTGAAGTAACCAATGCTAAGCTGTTAGCATTAGCATGTTTGATATTGTAGAAAGATAATATTTATTATTATAAACTGACCCGAAAGATCTGTAATTTTCTACTGCTAGCACTAGATTTTGAGGTAAGCAGGGGTAGCTTCAATTAGCATTGGAAGAGGCAGCTTTATGCTAATACAAGAGTATTTTTATTTCTGTAAGTAGCTTTCTGTTAGATGTTAGCTGCATAAAATCAGTCAAACAGCTTTTGAGTGAGATCAGTAGCTGTTTTCTTCCATATTTCAGCTAAAACAGCACAACAGAAACAAACTAATGAACATGAAATTACCAACATGAAGTGAACGTATTATCAGATTAATATAAGCTGACAGCCAGTTCATGGGTTGACCAGGAAGTTTATTTTAATATTTTCTGGTAGCTTGTAAAACATGAATAGAATTATCAAAAATATAGAGGTACCATATATGGTTAGGTTCTACAAAGAATGTTGGTTTTCTTATACTTAAAATTCTAAATTGCAACATATTTGTGCAGAAGTCTAGAAGAAGTTGATCTTTTAAACATATTTGTACTTGAAAGAAAGAGGAATGGAGAAGAACTGTTCTGGTATTGATAATTAGGAATGAGGATGATGTTAACCTGTAACTAAAGATTTAGAATGTTGATGAGCAGTACCATGAGCATATATGAAAGAGTTATTGAATTAAAAATTGCAAAGAAATACGTAAATCACGGTTTTAATTTATTGTATGTGATTTCTGTACATAGTCCTTGCACAGTTTTGTAATAAAACTGTAATAAATTTTTAAGAGACAAAACTATTTACAGAAAGTCAAGTGATTATTTATATTCTGTTTAAGAATTTAATTTGAGTAGGAAGGTAATTTGTCTTGCAACTAACTGATTTATTAAATGTAAGACATATTTATTTTTCCTCATGGCTCAATAAGCTATTGATTGGTGTAATTCAAATAAAGGAGGTATTATATTTTAGATGTTAAAATTGTTGACATTTTGGGATTTTTTTGTTAAATTTATGTTTTGTTGTCAGACTAGTCAGCTGTATGGAGTGTGTTTGAAAGAGACTTTTCGAAACATAAAAAAAAATGTTTATTTGGTCCCTTCTATAATACTATCATATGAGTAGCAAATTAGTAATAAAGAATGTCATATAACAGAATTTAAAGTGTGTTCTTTAGTTAATTTGTGTTGTTTTTAATCTATAAAGTTTGGCACTTGAAAAATGTGAAAATCTGCCTTTAAAATGTTTGAAAAGTGTACTTTCCCTGTTAAAATGGTAATGTTTATTGTTCATGACTATTTTAAAATTCATAATGGTAATTTAAAGAAATAAGATTGGTGAAAAATGTACTCAATCAAAATAAACAGAGTTTACTTATCAGTATTTATTTTTATCAGTTTAAAATTATCACTAAAAATACATAATAAAAATATTTTTTTTGTTTTGTTTTTTTTCAGATTTGATGAGAAGGAAAATGTATCGAACTGCATCCAGCTGAAAACATCGGTAATCAAAGGCATCAAAAATCAGCTGCTGGAACAGTTCCCCGACATCGAGCCATGGCTCAATCAGATAATGCCAAAAAAGGACCCAGTTAAAATAGTGAGATGGTACGATCCCGTGTTTCCTGCCTTCGTTGTTTCATGAATATTCTGTTCAGGTTCTTTAACTTCTGTGTGCATTTCAGCCATGAACACATTGAAATCCTGACAGTGAACGGAGAACTGCTTTTCTTCAGACAGAGGGAAGGACCTTTCTATCCAACCCTCAGGCTGCTCCATAAATGTAAGTGTTCCTCAGCAACATTAAGAATAAAATCTCTGATTAATATATATATATGTTTTTTTGTTTTGTTTTAAAAAAGAGATCATAAATGACAGGAAATATTTTGAGAAAGCAACTTTTATTTCAATCATTTCTCTTTTGTGAATTGAACCACAGAATCTTTGTTTAACTACTAGTATATGAACTAGTTAAATCTTTGTTGAATGAGTTTAACTACTAGTATATGTCTTACTTTTAGCAAAGTAAGACACAATTTCACCAGTAGAACATCCTAAACTTACGAGAAAAAAATGTTTTAATGAGAAAAAAACTTAATGGATAATTAATTTTTGGTTATTTTGTCTTGAAATATGTTTTATTTTTTTCTATTTCTTTGACGCCTCTTGTATTTCTTGGGCAAAAATGCTGCGAAAACATTACCATATTTTTAATAACATTATGACTTAAAAAATGTTAGCCTCACACTTAAAGTTTTGCTGGATTCAAGGTTTAAATAAATCTAGAATAGTCAAACAAGATGGCTGCCCTGTGCATGCTAACATCAAGTCAAAGGAGTGAATTGTTGAAAAAAATTCAGATTTTCCAAAAATTGAATATTTAATTAATTACACAGCCCTACTGATACTGAAGTATTTATTTGATTATATTTCCTCTTTTTCTCAGATCCTTTCATTCTTCCACACCAGCAAGTGGACAAAGGGGCCATAAAGTTTGTATTGAGTGGAGCGAATATCATGTGTCCCGGACTCACCTCACCAGGTGCCAAACTCTACCCTGCTGCTGCCGACACAGTAGTCGTATCCTTTTAATCCTGATGTGTTATTGTAGTTTTAAACACCTGTTTTTGATGTCCAACATCAACTTCTGCTTTCTCTGCAGCTTTTACATAAACATTTCCAACATGTTTGTCTTTAACAAGTTGATTCAGGCGATCATGGCAGAGGGGAAGCAACATGCGCTCTGTGTTGGTGTGATGAAGATGTCGGCTGAAAATATGTAAGCCTCCCAAATGGTTTTCTAAACAAATAGTTCACTGTTTACATCCTTGTGAGTCTAAGATCGTAATCTGTGTCTAACAGAGAAAAAGTCAACAAGGGAATTGGAATCGAGAACGTTCACTATCTGAACGACGGTTTGTGGCACATGAAGACGTACAAATGATGACCCCACCCAGACCGAGCGACAGCAACTCAACTGTTTCCACCTTCGCTTTGCAACCTGCTGGAGGCTGCAAATCTGCCATCATGACGCACAAATGAATAAAATATCTTGGTTCAAACCACAGCTAGTTTGTGCTTTTCTTAATTATTATTTGGATTAGAAGTAGCATCATGGATGTGATGTGGTTTTAAGACATGTTTGCGTTATGAGGAAGGGAGTGGTTATAAGTCCCACACAAACCAACAGTTAAACTGGTTTGTCTGCATTCTTTAGTTGGGAGCAACATAAATTTTCAAGTAAATAAATAAAGTAGTTGTAGTGTTAGTTAAAAACTGATGTTAAATGTCAGTTTAGTTTGTAAAAATGTATTAAAATCCAAGCAATTAAGAAGAGCAGCTTTTACTACATTTAGGTAACGTTATCTACTGGTACTTGGGTAGCAGCACTACAGGTTATGAGGATACAGGATGCACAGTTTCACAGGATTATTTTCATAACTTGTAATTTGCATAACACATTAGTTGAATACTGAAATGTTGGATTTATTTTTT